TCCCTTCCCTGCCCCCACCCCTCACCCCCCCCTGCATCCCACCCTGCATCCCACCCTGCATCCCACCCTGCATCCATCCCGCATCCCACTCTGCATCCCACCCTGCATCCATCCCACATGAATCCTGCATCCCACCCTGCATCCCACCTCACATCCCACCCTACATCCACTCCACATCCCACCTCCTGTTCACCCTGCATCCTGCATCCCACCCTGCATCCATCCCACATCCCACCCTGCATCCATCCCACATCCCACCCTGCATCCATCCCACCCCCCCCCCAAGGGTGCTCGTCCCAGGTGGGTGGGGGTCCACGGTGGGTGTGCGCACCCAGGAAGGGGTGGTGGTCTCTGGGCTGAGCTGTGTGTCCTGTCCCCCCCAGGCAAGCTCTCACTGGAGGAGTTCATCATCGGGGCCAAGAGTGACCCGTCCATCGTGCGCCTGCTGCAGTGTGACCCGAGCGGCGCCGCACAGCTCTGAGCCCCACGGGTCCCCCACAGCCCCCCACGGCCCCTCATGGCACCACACAGTCCCTCCCCAACCCTTCAGCCAGTCACTGCCACTGTCCCCTGCCCGGCCCTCGTGGTCCCCACCACTGTGTCCCCACCACCCCAAGCTGGGAGGGAGCTGGAGCCGGGGGGGAAGGTCCCCACTGCTGGGGACTCCCACCCCAGCTCCACTGGGGGGAGGATGGAGGGAGGGTCTGCCCCCCCCGGGGCTCAGAGTAGGGGGACAACCCAGCCTGGTGGGCAAAACTACTTCTGCATCACTGGTGGGCGTGGGGACACAGCCCAGGGGACAGGGAGCTGGTGGCTTGGGGGCCCCCCAAAACCCGCATGCACACACAGTGGGGCCAGGCCAGCCCCTTCCCCACAGCCCCACGGGCAGGGGCCATGGGGTGGGGATGAGCTCCTGGCCTTTTAATACCCACAGAATAAAGTCTCAGTGCAATCAGAGGTGGGAAAGGACCTGTTGGTGCCCAGGAGAAGGTTCTGCCCTACAGGGTCCAGACTCAGCTGGGTCACTCCCATTGCTGCAGCCCCAGGTGACCCGAGGCCACAGGGATGGGCTCATGTGTCTTGGCTGGTGGCATCCAGAGGGTGTGTTCCTGCAATAAGTGGGCTGGGGGACAGCTGGGTTCCCTCGTGTGGCTGGGACAGGGCAGGGCTGGGGACACCCCGTGGGTCCCTGCTCAGAGCTGGGCAGTTTCCACACTGTCCAGCCTCAGCAGGCCCAGGCACTGCCCGGAGCTGGGGGTCTCCACAGGGACCACCTGCAAGGAGACCTGCAAGGCAGAGAGGTGGCTGAGAGGGGGACTCAGAGCTTCACTTCAGCAAGTCCTGCCCTTGTCCAGGAGCCGCGGAGCCCAGAAAGGTCCAACCCAGATCAGAAGGGTCTTTCCCAGCCCAGAAGGGTCTTTCCCAGCCCAGCAGGGTCCATCCCAGCCCAGAGGGGTCCTTCCCAGCCCAGCAGGGTCCCTCCCAGCCCAGCAGGGTCCCTCCCAGCCCAGCAGGGTCCATCCCAG